CCCAAAAAAAAAAAAAAAAGAAGTTAAAATCGTGTCATTTGGTTGTTGATTTTATTTTTGTTTTATAGATTAGCTTCGTATTATATCCATCTATGGAATTCATCTACAGTGTTGCATATTGAATCTATCTATAAAGTTGTGTTTTTATGCTATATCTCAAAAAGGTTTTCAGATATCTTAAAAAATGTATTACGGTTCGACTCGTTTAACTGATAGGCTACCACATTTAAGAATTCTAGACCCATTCGCCACATATAAAAATTTAAGGATTACTAGTGGGCATAGAGCTTCTCTTACTACTTTAGTCCTGCAGATTTTTTTTTTTTTTTTTCTTGCCCTTTCTTTTTCCAACGTTTTACTTTCGTCTTTAGCCCCTCAAAACCACCCAACTATTTGATATCTTGCCCCCGAATTCTTTCCTTTTCTGCATTGGCCCCATAATAACATAAACAGTTCTGCATAGGAACAATCATATGCTAAACCTTAAGGAAAAATCCAAGTGCCAGGGAGATTTTCCTCTTTCTAAAGAACTGTGCGGAAATGGGTAACTGAATTATTTATAAATATCTTCACAAGTAACCCAAACAACAGGCTAATTTTCTTGTATTCCTTTCAATCGGGGAGTTCCGTAATTTTCCTGAATCTCAGTGGCTCCTCGAGCAATTATTTTCCTCTTTGAATCTCTTACCCTCTCTTGATTGCGACGGTACATAAGAACTGGCTGAATCACACGTTTGCAAAGGGCAGAGGTTTCTTATATTATCTCTCTACTACAAAACTTATCCACTCGTTTTATTGCAGCATCATATAAGGATAAGCCCGAGGGCCAGACCTCCAAGTACAAAAAAAATAAATAAATAGATAAAATTATGTATAACAAGCATAACTTCCTTGGCTAAAATTGTCCCTTGAAAAAAAAAAAAAATAAAAAAAAATAATCACATTCTGTGATGGGTAGAAAAAATGAATTATTGTTCTGTGTGTAAAATATGAATAATAAATTAAGGATAAAGAATCTTGGACTTGGACAGGGACATGACGACAATCTTGATCAAATTTCGGTCAATAATGCAAACTCCAATTGCACACTATTTTGGACAGACTTCATACAATATTGGACAAGTGATCATCTCTGGGATTTTATACGTAAGATTACTACAGAAATAATTGGTCAAATTGATTAGAATTTAGGATGTTAGAAAAGACTCATGATTTTATGCATATTTATGTATATTTTTTTTTTAAAGATACAGTGATTCGGTGAGTTAACGGCTTAAAAGGGAAATTACTTGTTAGTTTATGAATTCGATTTGTTTTGCAATAATTGAATGTCCATAAGTGACCCGTGTGTGGATTGCAACGCCGACCAATAAAATCCCACTCCAACTAACTCCTAACTATAATTTTTCCCCCTTTTTGTTTTAGATTATAGATTAAATTGGGAAGGAAAGGATGTTTATGTACAAGGTAATATAGATATGAGTTATCACATAACCAGTTGATCGGTAAACCCGATTATCAGTTCCTAGACGGTTCGGTTAAGCGGAGGTTAGCTCATGGAGTAATTTGGTTTCATCTTCCGTCGTGCTTGGACTATGTTTATTATCCCCAACCGGAAGGATCACTACAACTTTACTCAGGTCGGCAGCTTCTCCATCGGGTCTACCCGGAAATTAATCCAAACACCGACAAATATGGATTTTTTTTTTTTTTTCTCTATTTCAAAGTTCCTAAAAAAAGGCATGCATGAAATCATTTATGGTGATTGAGATTTGAGACAGTGATGCTGATTGAAATGGAAAACATTTATTTAAATGTAATGAAATTATTACTTTTTCTAAATCAAATCATGATTAAAGGTATGATATTTATGTTGAAAGTATTATTTTTTAAACAAAAAAGCAAAAGCAAATTAATATGTTTCCTAGGCTAGGCAGGCCACCAAATAAAAAAAAAATAAGGAAAAAGTAAATGCAAAGATGAAAGTGAAAATGCAGTGTTTGTCACCATCTCTTGCAACAATTTCTATAATAACTCCAAAGCCCACCACAGAGTCTCCTCTCTCTTCTGTTCTGTAAATAGAAATATTTCTCAAATGGCAAGCTCAGAAAATTCTTCTTCTGATGACAATTATAATTTCTCTGGTTCTCAAGGTACTTAAATCTCCATCTTCCATTTCTTTTTATCCTTCTGTACGCAGTGGTTTCTTTTAGTATATTTTTCTCTTGAACTCAACACATCTTCAACTAGACGATCATCAAGCTGGACTGATTCAGCTAGTTACGAGGTTTTATCTGAAATCGGTCAATGATAGATTTATTCCCTAATAAATGAACCTGATCTGAATTATGCCAATGGTATATATTATTGAGAATATGATATTCTGGATTGCAGAGGTAAATATGAAAGAATCTGGTATTCACTTCTCCAAAGATGAAGTGGCACTCATAATTAGGATGTACAAACTGGTCGGCCAAAGGTAAATTGGTTTTCACCTAGTTCTCTTCATTCCATCTTGGCTTTTTTGCCTTTTTATTTATTTATTTATTTATTATTATTATTATAATATCGATTTGTTCATGTATTTTGCATGTTCTTCTCCTCAGATGGACTCTAATTGCAGGAAGAATTCCGGGAAGAACTGCAGAGGAAATCGAGAAGTACTGGCAATCCCGATACTCCACCAATGGCGACGGTAAATAGAGGATGAATTGTTTAAAGTTCCAATTAGTTGATGTTAATCACATTTTCGCATGATCAATTGTATTATTCAGTATTTTTCTATAGATACCTGTTATGGTACAATACCAGCTTTATCACAAGGCATGTTTTGTGGTCCTGCAAAATCAGTATTCACTATTATCCTGTTATCCAATGTTCAAAAGAAGAAGATTTGAATGGTACACATTATGGCAAATTTATCCATGCAAAAAGCATGCACGGTAATAATCTCCAGTTTATGATACCTGTAAAGCTATTTAGTATTATTTATTATGAATTGACCTGGTCGAGAACCATGGCCACATCTAATCTAAATTAGAAATATGATTTTTAGATGTAATAAATTGTTGCTTCTAAAGCCATCACTGTCTGGGAATGGGTACAAAACAAGAACATGTGGCCAATCAAAGTTTTGTAAGAATTCATCAAACTGATTTTGACAAGACTTTACAAACGAAACAAAACACGATTTTTTTCCAAAAGAGTTCAACGTGCTAACAGGAAGCAGAGCAGCTACATGGGTTAAAAAAAACTTAAAATTTTACCATGCTGAATAATGTTACATTTTATAACCCCATATAAGTCAAATAAAAAGAAAATGAAGAGCACGGGCCGAAAAGGGCAGAATTCCAGTACTAGGATTATCACATTGTACTGAACAACACGTTAAAATGAATCAAACTCCAAATACAGTTAACCAGACCCATTACAGCTTTAAAACTTGATTTAAGAGTGGAGATAAAGCAAAACATAATTGCAGAACAAACTTTGTTAACAACAATGTCGAGCAAACGACAACTGTACCAAATACATCAATATGAAAAAGATAGAGTCCATCCACCATGCATAAAACATACTAAAAATAATGATCTTATTCATTTTAAGCATTATACATTGCTTTGCTTGTAGAACTTTGTGTCGAGTACTTGCTTTCCGCACATTGCACATACTCCTGCATCATAAAAGTATTTCAGAATCCAGAGGGACTCATCTAACTATTAAATCAGAAAATTAAAAAGAAAAAAAAAATACTACCTTTACTATAAGCGCATGTGTGACAATATTTGCCATCCTGGTGTACTTGTTGCTTACAGATGATACATTTGGTTTGTCCATAAGGAGTCCATCTGCAAAAGAAATCAATGGTAATGACTCATTGGAATGAGGAAAAAAAGGAACTTTCATAGCTCCCCTTATAATTGGCGAAGTACAAATCGAATTTGAAGGGATAGAAAAACATCCGTTTCATTTAATGGAACAACTCAGAAATCTCTAAATGAGAATTCAACAGAAAATCGGAAAGGAATCTGTAAGAGAGAGAGAGAGAGAGAGAGAGAGAGAGAGAGAGAGAGAGAGAATCCCCTGCAAAAGAATCTTTTGTGCTTGGACGCCAATCGCAATTTACTATACCCAGATGAAAGACAGAAATTCTCAAGATGCCACTCCGAAATCTACATAACTGAAATTCTTTTATGCATTACACTCCAAACTATTTTATATTCTCAAATTCGGAAGTAAACTTTTCTGGATTGAATTTGATTTATCAGATAAAGTGAGTTAAATTTGAAAAAAAAAAAACTGATTAATTGGAGATTTTGGTTGGATTTTGAGTTTGTGAGTATATATGAGTTAAAATGTATTGATTAAAGAAGATGTGATGTAGCAGTAGTGAAATAATGATTGTAAATGATTTGTAGTTAAAAATATACGAGTGTTTGAACAGCGAATTTTGTTGGAAATTGTATGGATTTACATTAATTAATTATATTGTATTGATTCGAGTTAATTTGAGTTAAAAATTTGTATCCAATCATGGTTCCGGCCAAAAATAAATTATCCAACAGTAAAAAATTGTATCCAATCGCACCTAAAGTTACTATTGAAGCAACAGAAAGAGAGCCAAGAGTGAAGAGTAATGCTCCTGATACAAACTAGGCAAACTTCACAAATAATTTCATGCAATTCAAGAAAATATAAAGAAAACATTGCCAGCATTCACAACAGGCCCAATTTCACTAAGTAACAAATCAATCGCCCAAATGAACAAATTAAGCTAGAAATTTCAATTCCCACGGCTCCACCTCAGATTCATCTTATAAAAAAAGTACTGTAAACGAAAGGGGGAAAATTGATGGAACCTGTTTTTCTTAGAGAGGAGCTTGTTCTCGTTGATTTTCCGGCCGCCGCCTTCGGTGGTGTTGTGGGCGCCGTCCTTCCACTTGTCCGGCACTATCACCTTCGCGAGCTTCTTCTCACCTGCACATATTACACGCAACGAATATATCCAATTGAAAACCCCGATTTGGGTAACAGGAAAAAAACCCTAAGGTCACAAATTCATGACTGTTGCGCATCTAAATTCACAGAAAAACGGAGGGTGATGAATCTTACACTTTTCACAAACCATCTGTGATTCGATCGACAGGATTCGCTTCAGAATGCCAAGGCTGGCTTCGATCGCTCGAACTAGCGGACGTTTATGTTCTTTGACCGACTCAATTTCCTCGCTTCTATTTTGGCCGCCTCTATTGTTACTTGTTAGTTTTATCTTTACTTCAATAAAGTTTATTTTGGAGTCAATTAATTATTTTTCATGTCTATGTATTATATTCCACTAGTAATTAACCTGTACATTTACACAGAAAAAAATATTTTAGATAACAATATAAATAAAAACAAAAAATAAATTATAATTTAATTCATGAAAAAAAATATGAACTAAGAAAATAATTCTCAAAATTAATTTTGATCAAGTAATTGATCAAGTAATTGCTATGAAAAAGCCGTTACAATCATTTTCTTTATACTAATACACCCGACCATTTTCATGAATGAGTGTGACTTAAAATTTGAGTACAATTTTGTAACTCCCTTGATTGGTTTTTGGTCATAATTTATGGCATGCAAACAAGTTATTTTGAAACTTAAAATGAAATTGAATGTTGAAAATTTTGGAGGGAGAATAAAACTTAATGCATGATAATATAATTTAATGTTTTGTTACTCCTCTTTATATATATATATATATATAGATATGAACTATTTCAGTTTTAAACTCCTTTTTTATTATTAATTTTAATTTATACTTTAAATTATAAATATCATTTTGTTGTGTTTAGCATGATATATTTAAATTTATTCTTCTTTTTTTTCTCTTAATTAATAAAATATTTTTCTTTCCCAAAATAAAATTAAATTACAAATTATGACATTTATTAGTATCTAAGTGTCATAATTATACATCGATGTATATAATACCAACAGTATGCAAAAGCCA